CACCCCCCCCCCCCCCCACACACACACACACCCTATATAAATCACATGACTTCTTCAGCTTCTAAAAAAAGATAGCAGGAAAAATAACAGGCAGTGGAACCTATTCTAACCTCTTAAACTAAACTGGTTCAAATAGAATGACAAAAAGTTTTATAAAGTAGAAAAGGATAGTACTGTGTCAATGTCCACACACGAGCCACTTGCATTAGTTTAAGTTTACCTGTTCCTTTTTCTGGACATGCCTGGCATATAGTCTGGTCACCCCACCCTTTGCCTAGGGTACAGCAGCAGTCCTTCAGAGTGGTAGAGGTAGTCAGTTGATTTTGACAACGTCCATTGCTGTAACTTCTGAAGCAGAATTTCTGATGAACCGCTGCAAGTAAAGTAGATATACTAGTAGATATGTTTACTTGCTGACAAGAAAAACAGTAAAATCACCAGCAAAAAAATTTGACTATAAATATTTATTCCTGAAAACCGTATTTTTAAACATTTTACCCTATTATCCTATATCATGAGTGGAAAAAATAACTAAAGAAAAAAATAATAAGCTCAAAATATTCTGAATAGCAAAGTATCAGTCAGATAAAATGTATCTAGCACTGTTAGTGTTTTAGTTCTTAAATGTTTTTTTTAAATATAGTTTTACAGGTAGCTGGGCAAATACTCCCTTCGTATGTACATGTGTCAGCAATTGTGACTCACACTTGGCCAAAAATAAAAAATAAGATTGACCTGCTGCTTAAAAGCATGTGCTGAACATACTACAGGCAATTCTGATAAAATACCAACAGTTGAATATATATATATATATATATATATATATATATATATATATATCATGAAAACAAATATGCATGTTAAATCCAAAAATAAAAAACAATATCTCCCAGCTCACAAAGTATTTAAATGTAAAAAGAGAAAACTGATTACTTCAGTTACTTTTATCACAAATCAACAATTTAATATATACGTACCCCCCAAGATGATAACAGTAGCATTAAGTGAAACCAAAGCTATAACTTCAATTCAAATATCTTTGTTTTTCAATTTTATAGCATTATAATGGTACATTTATGTCTGCAGCGCTGGAGCATTATGAATGTATATCCGGTGACAATGAAAACACAAAAAAATAAAAATAAACTTCAGAAAAGCGATTTACTGTGCAATGTGCACAGTGTGCATGCATGCACATGCATGGGATAACAGAAAACACCAACATCTTAAAGAGTGCATCAAAAACAAGAACTGGACCATTTCCTACCCAGCGGCAAGGCAATTAACTGTGCAAAGTATGGAACATTTGTTTTTCATTACCTTCCTTTACTGCTGCACTTGATAAATATGGTTTATTATAAGTTAAGTCATGTTGCACAATGAAAAAAGGCAACTAGCAGAGGAACTTCAAGACAAAGATCAATGAAATAGTGACCTCTTACCCCAACCAGACAGACAGAGCTTCATAAAATGAAAAGTAAAAACAGTCAATCAGTGAAGATTAAACAAGTTACGGTTGCACATATTGTAGAAGAAAACTGATGATAATGAAACCAGAGGCACATCTAGAAAGGTTACAGGAAGGTCCTCGCTTCTATTACACTCGTTTTAAACTTGCTAGGGTTCACAGTCTTTAGATAACCAACCGACAGAATTCATAGAAAAAACAGAGATTTACACATGAAAGGAACTATGATAGACCTTGTTGGCAAACAGTGCATTTCAAAACTAATAGCTCCAGAGGGGCATTCAGAATGCTTCGCTTAACTTCCATAATGTGCTCTTACATAAGCTATTAGCCCAAGAAACTTCGCTCTAAGTTGTGATACTTATTCCATATGAAAAGAGTGACAGACCCAGTAAAAAGGAGGAGCTTACCTCAAAATTTGCTACAGAAGAAAAAAACAATACGTATATAATTTGAACTGGAATTGCAAAAATCTCAATTAGGCAAGGTTCATGAATGAAAAGTTCCAAAAGTCAACTAATGGGGTTAGCTTCCCTGTGGTTTTCTAAATAACCTGAAAAAAAGTTTTTAAATTCCTTACAAGGTCAAACACATGACCTCTATTTGTCAAATCCTGACATTGTTAGGATACAAACAGGAGTCCTCTGACAAAAGGCTGCACTACTGCACTGTGTGTGTGTTGACATGCAGTTATTCAAGCAATTATACTGGCTAGACATATGCTTAAAGAATAATGAATGAACATTGTACCACACCCATTAATTGCCTTCAAACTTGGCATTATTCTATTCAAACTTTCAAGCAAGGAGTAAATTTTATCATGGGGCAAGTTATTGCTGTTGTGTGTGTGTGTGTGTGTGCGTGTATGTGTGCGTGCGTGCATGCATGCATGTTTCTTCCCAAAGATTTGTCTCATGCTTGATTTTGCAGCACCAACATTTTATATAAAAAAGATGAAAAGTTTCTCCCTAACACAATGCAAGAGGGGCATACAGTAGCTTACAAATAAACCTAAAAAACCATCAGTTGCAATGTGAATGTTTGCATGCGTGTATTTGCAAATACCTCATATGGAGTTTAACCTTTTGGAAAAAATCAGCAAATAAAGAAACTTCAAAGCATGACTTTAAGCCTGTCTACTGACTCTAAGTTCCTAAATGTACTATTAATAATATTGCCACTCACCAATGCAGGCTGTTCTGTCTGTGGACAGTTCATATCCTTCATTGCAGGTACAAAAATAGCTCCCTTCTGTATTAGTACATATTCCATTGGGACAGCTTCCAGGCTGTTCAAGACATTCATCTATATCTGAAACAGTACATCAGATTTAAGTACAATCCAAAGTAACATGATCTAAAGCACACAGCGGCTTAAAACACACCCAGATTTTCCAAGTTAGTTCTGGCATATATAATTTTGATAAATGAGTATACAATTTGTATTGGCTAAAACAACTGAAAAGTACTGAAAGTTCTTTTGTCAGGTTATCATTTAATTTGTGTCTTTTACATACTTTGTTAAATGGTGACCATAAGTTGATTGATTAAATCTGAGAGTCATCTTCTCCATTGTTGCCTACCTTCACAAGCGTTGGTCACTGGGTTCCGCCTCTGTCCTGCTGTGCACTCACACCTGTATGAGCCCAGTGTGTTCACACACGGAGCCCCAATACATAGGCCTGGGATGGCTTGACACTCATTTATATCTGGAGAGACAAATTAGGAAATCCCTTTTTACTACGGTGTACTATAGAAATATATTATTTATAATACAAATGTGTGTGTGTGTGTGTGTGCATGCGTGCGTGCGTGCATGTGTGCATATAAATGTGTGAGGTATTTTTGCAAATCTATATGTGTACATATACATGTATTAGTATATATATTTACATATGTTGGTGTGACTTCATACACTCATTCATTTAAGACAATTACAAAATGTATTCTGAATGTCTTAATTTCTGTACACATCAATGTACTTGCATTCATTTATGTATGTGCTGTAACATTTCTTTCACAAAATCTCCAAGAGATAACAAAAACCCTCATAATCCCATGACCTTTAGATGACACTTAGACAATCATACTTTCAGTTTCATATTTTCATAATTAATTCATCTACATCATGTACCTTCACAAGTGTTGTCCCTAGGGTTCAGAATATAGCCTCTCCTACATGGGTGTGTGGTTAGTGGGCACTGTTCACATGGTCTTCCCCAGGCTTTACCAATGGTGGAACAACACAATGCCTTAGTACATACAACCCCTGGGAGCTGCCCCTTGCACATGTTATTGGTAACCTCTGTATAACAAGGCCCAGTTCTATAATCTGTGGAAAAAAACAGGGGCAGTTATTAAAGTGACAAGAACCTTGGTGAAATAAGACTAAGTTGTATATTGTATGCTAATTCTTAGTAATAGTCATTATGACAAGAAAGGGACTGCACATAGTAAAAAGGGCACTTCGACAACACTATTTCTCTAATTTACAACCCTTATATATTCTTTGTTGCACTACATGGTAAAGTTTACTGAACAATTTGGATTTTAAACTGTATACAAATTTAAGTATTATTGATATTATTATTATATCATTATCATTTTAGATTAGAAAATTTTCTGTCTGATAGCAAGAATATTTCATCATTTATGGTGCCTAAACAAAATACTCTGCTTTAATTTTGTACGAGTCTACTTTATCTATATTCTAAAAGCATAGCAAAAAAAAGACTGCAGTCGAGTGCAGAAAAAAAAGTAAATGGCATACAGTTCAAAGGAAAAACAATACAAACAGTAGGCACAGCAGTCCCTTATTGTAACAACTTTATGTTTAGTCAAAAGAATCTGGCCTTACCTTGATCACATCTCTGCCCAGAATACCCATAGCTACATGCACACTTGTCTGGCCCTATACAGCGACCCGAGTTCAGACAGCCCCCATTACATATTGCTGAAATATTGAAGAACATACTCTTTAGCTTGTTATATGACTCCCTTAAAAATTATAATGACTTTAATTGGTGACAATGGTTTAAACATAATATCAACCTATCTTTTTGCAACCACACCCCATAATAAATTGAAGAACATAAAATAAATCAGTACTCTCTTTTTTGTTTCTAAACCATAAAATCTTTTTATCAGCATTTTAAAAAATCAGGAGACTGAATATACCAGTAGCAATAAAGACAGATTTGAACTTAGCAAGATCTTTAAATAAATGTAAATAAAATACATTTGTTGCTTATTAATTATTGATAAAATACACAAATTATGATAAAACATCAGATTCAGCCACCATACGTTGAAAAAAACTACAAAAAGACGAATAGATAAAGAGAGAAAATTTTCACTATAAATCAGTTGCAGATTGCAACTGCCATCTGACAGACGGTTGTTCCTGCCCTGTCCGTCTGCTTTCCTCGAGAAAATGAACAACAAATCATCATACATGTGCAGTGAAAAGCCCTCTGCAATGGTGCGTCAAGTTGAACTTTGCAATTGTGTCAAATTACCAACCAAACAGACCAATATGGCTATCATTAGCTAACACATGCAGCAAACTGTTGGGCCAATTTCTTGTAATCAGCCAAGAACAAAGCTTTGCAATTTGAAGCCTGCCTCAGACAGCTTGAGATTTATGGAAAGAACCATATATTTTGATTGCTGAATAACATTCTAGCAATTCTACCATTATGTTGCCCTTTTGGTATAACAAATAGTGTAATTTATAAAGAATTAGAACCATTTTCTCCAAAGCTATTTTTTTTTCTTCAGGAATGTCTTAAGACTGAAGTTTACAATCCTTTATATTTACTCCCTCATATATGCCGTCTTGACTTGAAAATAGCATTAAAATGTCAAACCATAGCCTTTTTTGAAAGAAATATTCTGCAGTAGAAAGGATATGCCTGCACAAATTATTTCTTGACAGATAGTATTAAACTTTAATTTATACAAGTGCAAACACTGAAGACTTTTACAACTGTCTACCTATTTTTGCTAACAACACTTGGTATGCTGCCTGTTTTGTTAGTAATTAAATGGTTTATTTCTTAATTGCTTGTATTGTAAGACATCTTCAAACTACTTCCTTTAAAAGGGTTGTCTTTTTTAAACTGAAATGTCCATGAAATTTTTCACTGTTTTATCATGAGCAGAACAAAATTCCACCAAAACCAGTGACTTCACACATCCGCTTCCAGGAGCCCTTATTCAACCAGCTTTGTTTACTGGAGCAAAAAACAACAAGGTGTCAAACTCCCATTAAAGCACATAACTTGTCATCAACTAAGTCCAGATACCTTCTGCGAAAAAACTTCATAGATGAAAGTATTCAGGCTCCTGTCATATATAAGTAAACTACAAGACTGTGAACATGGACATGTGTGAAACAAAACAGTGAAACTCCAGGTTTCTGGGCCTTTATTTAAGAATGCCCCTTTCTAATCGGTATTTTATGAGCATTTTATGTAGTGAAAGGCAGATGTGACTGTAAGGTAACCCAGTACAACAGGATTTCTTGTATTATCAAATATTTGGAATTCTTAAGGAAAGTTTTGTTAAAATTTTCTCAGCTCAAATTTCAATTTAACCATCAATCACCCTTTCACAGGAGAGTTTACATATAAATCACCTTGCTGAAAGAAGAAAATGTTCACTATGAAAACAAAAAAAGTGCCATTTTCTTGATTTTTTGTAATCTCCTATGTTGCTAAGCCTGAAACCTCTAATCTCTTGACATTTTAGTTTTTGCAGTTAGAAATGGTGTTTTTGTACTGTTAAGCAGTCCCTAATTTGTTCATTTCTACATCTGTCGAAGAACTTTACTTGCTGTACCACACATTTAAGTCTCTTAAAACATAAGACATCCAAGCGTCCCACATACCAGACACAAAATGTTAATCAAACTTGATAAATACATGCTGAATCAAGGGTTTATTTAAATGAATTTTACATGAAGAAAAAATGATGATAATTTCCAATTCGTAACAAGTATTCCTGTTTTTGTTAAAATATATTTCAAATTTAACATCTTAAAANATACTCCATTCACACTACAGTTGCAAAAATGCGCATTTCTATAATCCGGATTTTTCGTGGGGAATCCGATTCGGTTTTGCGTTCACACTGTAAAGTGGAAACCGCATCGGCAAAGCCAAAATCCAGGTGCAACTTCCTGCTTAAGCAACTGCGCATGCGCTGCATCAAGGAGTACGAAACATGGCGGCAATAGCTACATGTTTATTTCTCTGGAATTTTTTCCGCTTTCTTCTCGGGAAAAAACGTTGTAAAGCAAAGCAAAGCATACTTAGACAACCCCGCGTATACGGCACACGTAGGAGGCTTTCTGAGAGAAGACGCAGACTGGGTGGGTTTCAAAGGAGGGCAAGAGTACACGTATGTTGTTTTTTTCTTTACATTCGTTTTACTTTAGTGACTGCAATTAATGCGGTTGGTGTTTTTATCATGCAAGTCCACCGTAATAAACACGAATATTGGTTTATTTATTAAATTTAATAGTAAATTGCACAATTAATTACACAATGCATTTATTGCTATAGTCTCCTGTAGCGCCGTAGTTCATGCATGTATGGGTAAGTTTTACTGTAATCTGTATCCATTTTGGCATGGGCACCAGCGTCCACCACAACATATTTAATTTTTAGCGCGATATCTTGTTTAAAATCATTTTGGAGCAATATATTTTAACTATTTCATTTGTATTATTTTACTTTTAGATGAACCAGATGAATATGTTGGCAGTAACTTTACTACAGATGCCTAAGTCTATAAATAGGAACGTATGGGCCAGAGACCGAGGAAACATGTTCTGGGAACACACTGTTAATGTGTAAGTATGATAATAGAATTTTAATAATTACCCTAGATATATTAAAAAATAAAATATTAAGAGGTACTACTTGTATTTACTTTAATTGTTTTCATAAATTTAAATTTATATTTCAGGCCAATTTCACAGCCAGGTTTTAACCTGACATAGGGTTACAGTTAGATCTATTTTATTCTGCATGCCATGGGTTAGACCAGAGTAAAACCCTCACCTAGCTGTGAATTTTGCCCTTTTGGTTCCTTGTTCCAAATATCATTAAGAATCCTGACATAAAAAATGCAATTAGTTTGTTCATCCTGTATTTTAGGACATTTACAGAAAGAGAATGGAAGGAAAACTTTAGGATGTCAAAGGACTCATTTAATTTTCTATGCAATATTCTGAGACCACAGTTGACAAGGCAAGAGACTCATCTGCGCCATTCCATAACTGTTGAGAAACAGGTATGTTAAGAGTGCCATATATTAAATGTTGATGTGTATTATTATTATTATTGCATATCATACTAATTCTGCAGTTTCTTTGAACTTTTAAACAAAGTAAATTTACCATTTGGAAAGTTTCCCGGCATTTTAAAAACACTCTAAATATTTTACAGGAATGATATAATGGTAGTTTTTAACATATTCTGTATATTGAATCTTACACTTCTCCCCATTTTTTATTTAATAGGTAGCAATAACTCTTTGGTTTTTGGGAAGTGGTGACAGCTATAGGACAATCAGTCATCTGTTTGCTGTGGGGCGTTCTACCGTGTCAACAATAGTAAAAAGATTTGTCCAAGCTGTTGTTTCAAGAAAGAATTTATTTATAAAGTTCCCTCAGGATGCAGAGCTTGATAGAGTCATTCAGGGATATGCCAACAAGTGGGGATTCCCAAATGTAGGTGGAGCAATAGATGGGACTCACATTCCAATTATTGCTCCACCTGATAGTAAAGGGGACTACTATAACAGAAAGGGATGGCATAGCATCCAACTGCAAGCTGTCTGTAATGACAGATACCATTTTACGGACATATATATCGGTTGGCCTGGTAGTGTGCATGATGCACGGGTTTTCAACAATAGTCTGATTCAAGAGAGGGGCATGGATGGCAATCTATTTGGACAAAGAGTAGTCAACCTGGGTAATAACAGGAATGTTCCAGTGTCTCTAATTGGGGATGCTGCTTATCCACTGTCTCATTTTCTCATTAAACCATTTAATGACAATGGCAGATTAAGTGACGAACAACAGCATTTTAACAGATGTCTATCGCGGGCTAGAATGACCATTGAAAACAGTTTTGGTCGCTTGAAGGGCAGGTGGCGATGCTTAATGAAAAGACTCGATGTTGGCGTTAGTACTTTGGCTGAGCTCATCCTCACTTGTTGTATACTACACAATATCTGTGAACAGGAGGCAGAAGGGTTCCCTGACGACTGGATCAGAGCCGTTGATGAGCATAATCAGGCCTATCCACAACCACGAAACTGTGCCCAACGACCCCCTCATAATGGGATTCCACTACAAGGGTTTAATGCAGGCCAGAATATCAGAAATGCTCTTGTGCAGCACTTGTATCCATGACATTGAATTTATGCTACTGTGTAGACAATACTAAATGTTGGTTAAGTCGTATAGTTACAGGTGATACTGATACAGTGTGTATGTTGTGAAAATTGATAATTTTCTACATTCTAATATATTGTATTTGATATCTACTCTACATGGACAGTTTGTAGTTAACATACAATATCCAAGAGGATGTAGAATTGTTATAATAGTTTTAAACAGCCTTTGATGCTCTGGAATCTGCATTCTCTTTTCAATGAAATTAGTTCTCAACTTTCTTTTACAATACATACAAACATAAGTTGTTTAAATACCAGGGTTGAAATCATACAGTGAATTAAACGGAATAGTAAATATACTTCTATTATTCTTTTATTCTGCAGTTTTTTTAATCATTGCAAACCCCCGTTATGGGAATACTGATTTGTGTATTGCAGGCTTGGCACACCAAAAACTGATATGCATAAAAATAACTAATTGTCTACTGTAACATGTTTGGCACAAATGCCACACTGATTTACTTTTATGGATGACATCGTGGTACTTCAACGTTTTCAAAAAAAAAAAAAAGGCCAGAACAGACTGCAGTGAACAAAGTTCATTCAGGTGGCATTTTTTTGGATCCTCATCCTACACTCGGACATAATTTGACTAGACGATGTCACCAACAATATTAAATCGGTGTGTCCTTAGGAATAAAAACGTAATATATAAAAATAACTTTTTGTCTAATGTACTGTCCTAAAATAACATACCAATTGTTTTTACTAGTTACAAGATATAAAATTAAATTGAGCAAAGTCACACTGAGACAAGTATTACAAAATGTATGGCACTTGAAATCATACAATGAGCATGAAATGTTCTCAAAGAGAACAGTCCAGAACTGACTTTGGTGAAAAAGATTCATTCCTGTGGTGTATTTTTTAGACCACATCCTAAACTCAAACATCTGTGACTAGTGGACACCATCTACAAAATTTAACTGGTGTGTCCTTAGGAGGAAAAACACAATATATAAAAATAACTTTGTCTAATGCACTGTCCTAAAGTAACATACCAATTGGTTTTACTAGTCTAATGCACTGTCCTAAAGTAACATACCAATTGGTTTTACTAGTTACAAGATATAAAATTTAATTGAGCAAAGTCACACTGAGACAGGTATTACAAAATGTATGGCACTTGAAATCATACAATGAGCATGAAATGTTCTCAGAGAGAACAGTCCAGAACTGACTTCGGTGAAAAAGATTCATTCCTGTGGTGTATTTTTTTTACCACATCCTAAACTCAAACATCTGTGACTGGTGGACGCCATCTACGAAATTTAACTGGCGTGTCCTTAGGAGGAAAAACACAATATATAAAAATAACTTTGTCTAATGCTGAGTAAGTAACATACCAAATGGTTTAACTAGTTACAAAAAATAATACTGAGCAATATCACACTGAGAGAGTTGTGTCCATGTTTCTACAAGTACATCCTAGTATAAGTATGTCATCTATGTAAATTGACACCAAATGAAAATTTTCTACATTCTAACAGAAATATTTATAATTATGTCTGAGACTGAGCATTGTCAATATTTATGAGCATTTCATTTGGCACTTTTTGGATAAAAATTCAAAATAAAATATGACCTTATACACTAAATACAAAAAAAATATAATAATAAATAAATAAAAATAAAAAAGTGAGATTGGTGTTGCAAAGGTTAAAACCAATGCTCAACCTTCAAATAACTTTACAAATACAAAGCTTATAATGTCTACCAAAAATTTCAATGTGGGCCCCCTGATTTTGGCAAGATTATCCTACTAACACTAAAGACCAAATCAGGCCCACTAGTGTAACCAGGTAATGGATAATGGAGACATAAAGGAGGGAGGAAACAGAACACAAATTGTTTATGGCGCAATCATATTTTTTATATCAGAAACATGTAACTTGAGTTTGTGAAAATTATAAATTAAAATAATCTGGCCCATTGTTTTGCGAAAAGGATTTGTGTTGGAATGGGGAATTGGAGGACCCAGCGCCATTTTGAGTTAATGTTGAAAACATGTTAGTAAACAATTGCGCCATGCGCAATTCATGTTCCCTTTCCTCCCTCCTTCTTTGTGCCTCCATCTCCCTTTCCTCTCTCCTCCATTTTAAATCGTCTTCATGTTGACGTCTTTCCCTTTCATTTTCAGCTTTCATTCTCTTTTCCTCCAACTCTAAAAAAGACCTGTTGAAAGGCTGCATCAAGTCCTCAATTTCTTTCCTCTTCCTACTTGCAGCAGCTATAAGGAAGAAAGAACCATTGATACGTAACTGTGGCTTAGTAATTGTTAGTTAAGGCGAAGTACTGTTTTAATGAGCTAACAATAGCATAATATAACAAAACCAGTGCTTGACATTAGGTAAAGAACAATAAACTAGCATCACCTAGCGATGCTCTTCTCTCAGAAAATTAACTTTATAGCTGTAAAACATTCTAAGGGCTTACCCTTTTCTTTGTAAAATAAATTAAACATTTGTTTTTATTACTGTTTCTATTATGTATGACAATTATTATTATTATTTGAAGTAGTATCTTTCAATTCTAGAAGATTAAAAAATATAGCAAACACTGCTTACTCTTCTTGGTGGAGCATTTTTTCTCAGGTTTTTCCTTCTTTTCCTCCTTTCTTTCTACCACTTCCTTTTCCTCAGTTCTTTCTTCCACTTCATTCTCCTCCTCCTCACACTCTGTGGAGTCCTCCACTGATTCCTCATCCTCATCTTGAGTAGCTGTGAAACAAAAATATGGTAAAAAATCTCACCCTGTGTATTTCATGTGGAACAAAATAAAAACAGCTTGTTCAAGCAGAAGTCATTCAAATCATTTAAGTGAAAATAGCATATACTTACATGAACTAGACATGTCCAGGAGGACATGAGGTTGGGACGAAGCTCGGCACCCAAGGATTTCATCTAAGGCATCAAAAAATTGGAAATCTTCTGATGTTGTAGCCCCTGCTCCACTCCTTCTTAAATTATCTTTGATTTTTTTATACTTTTGTTTTAAATTCTTTATTTTTACTCTGCAGCTCTCTGCATCCTTTAAGATGTTGTATTTCTGTAAATATAAGTAAGGATAATAAATCAATTAAAGCTAATACCACATTAAACACAGGTATTCAAAGAAAAGAGGCATAAACTTTATCTGCACAACTCATATTCACAATTTTACTGAGTACAATATAAAGGCTAATGTACCACAACTTGGCTCTATCAAACCTAACACGTACGGGGGGGGGGGGTGACTTGTCCATGGTAACACTCAACAAAATTACTTTCAAAAACCAAGAACTAGTTCTTGAGTTGCTCCATCAGAAATTAAAACGACAAAACTGACGAAATTTAATCGATACAATACGGAATATAAAAAAGTACTCAACAGCTTACCAACTACTTTACAAACGTCATTGGAAAAGTGAAAACGAAGTTTAATCACCTCTGAGGGTTGTAATTTACTTACGTCTTTTAATTCTGAAGAAATAGCCTCGTACACATGTCTATTCCTGTAGCTGGAGAAGCCTTTTTGGTGTGCAGGTTTCCCCCAAACTTCTAGTAAACTCCAAACTTCAGTATNCTCTGCAATGGTGCGTCAAGTTGAACTTTGCAATTGTGTCAAATTACCAACCAAACAGACCAATATGGCTATCATTAGCTAACACATGCAGCAAACTGTTGGGCCAATTTCTTGTAATCAGCCAAGAACAAAGCTTTGCAATTTGAAGCCTGCCTCAGACAGCTTGAGATTTATGGAAAGAACCATATATTTTGATTGCTGAATAACATTCTAGCAATTCTACCATTATGTTGCCCTTTTGGTATAACAAATAGTGTAATTTATAAAGAATTAGAACCATTTTCTCCAAAGCTATTTTTTTTTCTTCAGGAATGTCTTAAGACTGAAGTTTACAATCCTTTATATTTACTCCCTCATATATGCCGTCTTGACTTGAAAATAGCATTAAAATGTCAAACCATAGCCTTTTTTGAAAGAAATATTCTGCAGTAGAAAGGATATGCCTGCACAAATTATTTCTTGACAGATAGTATTAAACTTTAATTTATACAAGTGCAAACACTGAAGACTTTTACAACTGTCTACCTATTTTTGCTAACAACACTTGGTATGCTGCCTGTTTTGTTAGTAATTAAATGGTTTATTTCTTAATTGCTTGTATTGTAAGACATCTTCAAACTACTTCCTTTAAAAGGGTTGTCTTTTTTAAACTGAAATGTCCATGAAATTTTTCACTGTTTTATCATGAGCAGAACAAAATTCCACCAAAACCAGTGACTTCACACATCCGCTTCCAGGAGCCCTTATTCAACCAGCTTTGTTTACTGGAGCAAAAAACAACAAGGTGTCAAACTCCCATTAAAGCACATAACTTGTCATCAACTAAGTCCAGATACCTTCTGCGAAAAAACTTCATAGATGAAAGTATTCAGGCTCCTGTCATATATAAGTAAACTACAAGACTGTGAACATGGACATGTGTGAAACAAAACAGTGAAACTCCAGGTTTCTGGGCCTTTATTTAAGAATGCCCCTTTCTAATCGGTATTTTATGAGCATTTTATGTAGTGAAAGGCAGATGTGACTGTAAGGTAACCCAGTACAACAGGATTTCTTGTATTATCAAATATTTGGAATTCTTAAGGAAAGTTTTGTTAAAATTTTCTCAGCTCAAATTTCAATTTAACCATCAATCACCCTTTCACAGGAGAGTTTACATATAAATCACCTTGCTGAAAGAAGAAAATGTTCACTATGAAAACAAAAAAAGTGCCATTTTCTTGATTTTTTGTAATCTCCTATGTTGCTAAGCCTGAAACCTCTAATCTCTTGACATTTTAGTTTTTGCAGTTAGAAATGGTGTTTTTGTACTGTTAAGCAGTCCCTAATTTGTTCATTTCTACATCTGTCGAAGAACTTTACTTGCTGTACCACACATTTAAGTCTCTTAAAACATAAGACATCCAAGCGTCCCACATACCAGACACAAAATGTTAATCAAACTTGATAAATACATGCTGAATCAAGGGTTTATTTAAATGAATTTTACATGAAGAAAAAATGATGATAATTTCCAATTCGTAACAAGTATTCCTGTTTTTGTTAAAATATATTTCAAATTTAACATCTTAAAACTTTGATTTATGCCATTTTAATCCAATTGCAAGAATATATACTAACACTGCACATTTTAAAATCCAAAAATTTTAAAGAGGTTCAAAAATTTACTGAGAGAGTTCTCTTTTAAACATACAGCATAATCAAAGGAAAAGTTTTGCTGATATAATGCAAACCAGAGGAACTGTAACATGAACACAGGGGACTGAAGGTGATCTGAGAATGCCATTCCATCTTGTAAATGTGACTGACAAAGTCATTTCCTCTCCAGGAGAGCCCAAAATGGAGATGCAATCCAAACCAAAAACTCTGCCAAGTCTGCAATGCGCTGAACAATTACCTAACCAACTGGTAATTTTTCTCAATAATAAATGTATTTCAAGATAACACTTGTAGAGTTGACTATTGCTGTGGTTGGCTGTGGGTGAATGTGGTTTGCTGTGGTTTACCATATCATGTGTATTCAGAGAGCATCCATGTCTATTTCAGTGCATTTTCTGATATGTCTTTAGTTCTATATTTAGTCTGTAGCACTAACAAATGTACAGAAATGTTAAATGATAAAGTGATGACCAACTGGCAAAATATGCAAGAAGGTATTTTGAAATAAAGATTTAGGATTTACTTGCACTTTTCTTGCATCACTTGAGTTTAACCGGAAAAGTTAACAACTCATATGGTACAGTCTGGTATTGCTTAAGTGTAAGTTCATTTTCATGATTTTGAGATCAAAGAAGATACATACATACATACATACATACTAACATAACATAATAGGTTGGCACAGCTCCTTTTGATGTTTGGGAACACGTCATCAACTGAGAACATAACCTGCAGTTCCTTCGCTAAGTATATTACCAAAACCATTTTTCATTTTGCAATAAGTGCTTCAAAGCAAATTTTTAATTTTCAACATTCTAAGTTACTATAAGCATTTAAATAAAGTTACAGTACATAATGGAAATTATCTTAACTTACGCTGTCCACAAGTCTGTCCCTGCCAACCAGAGAAGCACACGCACACACTCCCTGTCCAGCTGCCCCCATTCAAACATGGGTTTGCACTGCCAAACTGCTGTGGCTGGACATACCCAAAGTTAGGTTGCTGTGGTTGCTGGACCACTGGTCTCTGTGCTACAGGCTGCTGATTTTGGTACCTTCTGTCCTTTTCTCTGGCAGCCTGGTATTTCTTTTTCTGATTTGCTTGGCTGGCTCTGTAGGCTGCAAGCCTGGACTGGTAGGACTGCACCCCACTTGACTGTGCAGACTGGTAAGAGGATGAGGAGACTGCTGCAGATGAGGAGGGTCTCTTGTACCCACTGCTTTGCTTTGAAGCTGCAACCCTTGATGACGAAGATGCATACAAGCTGTAGGATGATGGTTTGCGTTTTGAAGAAGCTTGAAAGAAATATAAAAAATTATTAAAAATAAAGGTATCAAATGCACAAGTGAATACAGAATGACATGGTATAATAATTTTTCTATTCAAGAGAAATTGTATAAAATGACTGGATAATGATAAATCTTTTCTTAAAAATGTTTAAATAGCTGAATCTTTTACGCAGATTGGACCTAAAACACTTCAATCCAGGTATTGTGTATTATGGTTGAATGCAATCAAGTTTGCAGTGCATGATATCAAACTTAAATAGTTTTTGCTGAAACTATCCTGTAAGCAACACAATGTGGTCTTGATTGAACCTCAGTATTGTTACACAATCCATCTGTACCATCATACTGTACAATCTTGCATATCAGTGTGTTGATACAGCCAAAATGCATGCAAACAGTTCACATTCTTATATTTTCATAATGAAAGTCAATCAAAAAGAAATCTGGTTTTGGTCCAATAATCCTTGTATGACATGTTGTGAATATTGAACCAACACCACATAGTTTTATACCTATTGTTTTCCTACATTTAAATGAAATATGGATCCTCTAGAAATATGACCATCACTCAAACATTTCAAACATTTCCTATACCCATCTGTCAGTCCCAACTATAAAGCAACTATTGTTTCAATCAGACAGCCCCAATGCTACCTCAAACACATCAGTTCAGAAAAATCACATGCACTTTGATGTTTCTCCAAACAAGTCCCTGCTGTTGGACCATAGGCAGCACGGCTGTGTTATTTGCTTACTAAAGTTTCTCCATATCTTATTCATTAAGTTACACCTCCAAGGCAGGGCCTCCTCAGACTTGTTGCCTTTAAATAATCCTAACATTATTCTTTGAAACTTGTACACTTAACCAGCACCATTTGATTCATACAGCCTTTATCTTATTTTTTTAAACACCTGTAAACCTCAATAAAGGTTCTTCTGTTGAGATTAACAATGAGACTTTGTCTCTTTTCCTAGGTCCAGTCTGTGTATGTCTATTCGCACTCCTTTTATTTTCTACTTTGCACATGTTGTATGAGGTTCTTCTTTAAAACGTTAACTTGAATTGTATCAAATTCAGTAAATAACACCTGGTTTAGCACTAAAGAAAATGTCTGTCTTAACGTTCATTGAATGTTGAATACAAATTTACTCTTAGATGTAAATCTAAATGAAATTATGAAGCAAAGATAATTGCCTTTTATATCTAAAAGATGCTGTATAGTTATTACATTAATCTCTAGCTTACATAGCTCAAGGCTAACAGGGTGCATCATTAGTGCAAGATCTTCCACTGAAATGAATTTTGATCCCATTGTTTACACTTTACCTATAAACTTTGTCATCTTCACCTTTTCCATTCATATGGACAATATCCAAGCTCACTTTCTTAGACACTTCTTTAAATTTTCTCTGGGTATAAACAAAAATCATTCCTATAATAATAGCATGAGCTTTTAGGAGTGCTTTCTGATTGTAATTTTTTAACAATGCGGTTTGAATGTTGTAAATATAACCTAGATATGCTAAATAACTTGTATGTATTTTAATTCACCTATGAGCTTATCACATTCAATACTGTTGATACCCATTCACTCAGGGTACATAACATATATATTTCTGCTAGACTCATCAGCTCAATAGATGATTTTATTTTCAAAATTCTTTAAGCAATGTGGCAAGTCAAAGTTCTACTAAAACGCATATGAAAATGACCCTTATTTTTAAATAAAAGTATTCCAGACTTTATACCCTTTTCTTTTTCTATATAATAGCTATTTGATAAAACCAGTTTAGACTACAGCTTGCAATGTCAAATTTAAGTTCTCAGCCCCAGGGTTCATGGTGACCTGTACCATATGAGTTTCTTTCTCTCCTTCATTTTTCTTTTTTTTTTTTTTAAACCCTTCACTGACACCCAACCGATAATATTTCCATGTAAGTGTCCTCGTGGTAAGGTCACTGGATTATCCAAGTGAGAGCCAAGTAGAAAATGCCAGGAATGTCACACAATTGCCTGCGGGCCTGGGTCCTAGTACCTGCCAAGTCGTTGGTGCCATTTACTTTATTAATTGCTTTTAACAACACATTGCACTTGACACAGCAAAGTTTCTGACAAAAAATCTACCATAACCTGAATAGAACTACTCAAACAAACATTTAAAAGACAAGCCTCCCACCCAAGATCGCTATCTCAAGTATGCCCAGCATTGCCAAAACATTTCAAAATGCTGTACAATAATTAATTTAATAAATCAGTCAAAATATTGTTTGTTGGTGGATATCTTACATGAGAACAAACCCGTTCCCAACGTATGAAAGATATTGAAGCATTTCTTTTAGTAATCTATTCTTCTTACAATATGTACATGTATATTTACCATGCAATTAAACATGATCAATGAAGACAAAAAAAAACAAACAAACATATTCTGAATGAAAATATCCCCAAGTTATTTTCTATGTCTACATAATTCTGAAAAGTTACTTATCTTTTCCAATTCAGACATAAAACATGATAAAAATTATCAAATACTCGATGTCGATATCTCCTCATAAAACGTACAGGAAGACAAAGTGGTCTATGAATCTGGCCAATTGTTTGGAACTTTAAAAATTGTTTCATAGAAATTGTATAAAACAGCACACCAAAGCGAAGGGGCAGATCAAGCATTAATTCAGGAGTAGCAGAAAAACTAATATATATATACATTTTCCAAGGGGAAGAATTCCATTTGGCGTTCATATATTCCAGATAGGACACGGTCGATCCTTTCAAAATCAAGAAGGCCTTCCTATTTACTTTGCAGAAATGGAAGAGGTGTGCAAGAAATTTTTATAGCTAGAATAAAAGCATAACCAGTGCAGGCAATAAGAGTTTGTGATTCTTTAAAGAATAACCGTGGGTTCCCTTTTACTTATCCTAAAACCTCAATGTCGCCCCAGCACGAGACCTCATTTTACTTTCAAAGTTCAGTCAAAGTTCTGGCAACATATTACTTTCAGCACATATCCACTGCATTTGGGCGTTGTGGTTGATCAAAGTTCTTCCTTAAATAATCATTAAGCTGAAATCGGTTTTAGCTTTGGTAAGTAGCTTGCGATTTAGTAAAAGAATATATTACATGGCTACACGACTATTTTAAACCAGCCCTCTTGTTTGCACTTCCGCTTCTTATCCCACTTTCGACACACCAAGGGACGATGCATCAGTAATGGAGTAAAATGTTCGGTTTAGAATTTTTGTTTACCTTTTGTCGAACACGAAGAGGCCAGTCTACCATCAGGACAAAGGCAAAGATTTGGCCTGATACAAGTACCGTCTCCACACGACCTCTCGCAGATAGCTGAAAAAAAATTGTGATGAATACAGTACGGAAAAAAGCGGAAAAGGCCGAGCGGTTCCGTCAACTCCACGCACGAAGATGAAACATGGGACCGCCGGTCGTTACGAGTGCCTCAGAGTAATATTGTTTATAAATATAAAACAAAATCTCGCAAGAAAAGTAAACAAATCTTATGCCTCTATTAACCTTCTTTTTTTTTTTTTTTTTTGGGGGGGGGGGGGGGGTGGGTGGGGGGTCAAACATCTCCAAAATAAACTAATGAAATAGTAATGGTAAAAATTAAATACTCGGTACACAATGCATGTACTATATTTACACATAAGAATAAAGGAATTTTCAATAGCCTTATTTTCCATGAAGATATTTCGTAATAATGCCTACAGATCTACTATACTGGTATATTCTATATGTTATGAGATCCATTATACTGGATAGCCAAAATTCAGTCGGCAGGCAAAACGTATCGAGTAATGGTTACTTACGCACTGTGCATTTATTTCCCCCTAATGTTGTTGACCACCCGGCACAGCAGTGAGGATTAAACGGGTTTCCGCATACGTTGGGTCTAAAACAGAAGTAAAAGAAAAACGTCATTCGTCGCGCCTTCAGTCTTTGGGTCAAGAGCTACACATGACATAACATTAAACTTATCAGAAATTCTCGTGATAACACCGATCCTACCGATTGACAGTCTGCGGTTAGGCCTACAACTGCATTGTGAATTTTTACAATTAAAACTAACTCTCTCTCTCTCTCTCTCTCTCACTGAACATTCTGACTGTTGGTCTGTCTGTCTGCCTGTTGTCATATGTCATATCTGCATGCTCTTCTCTTCATTTATCTTTAGTCTTTTATGGACGCGCTCGCTGTAGGCCTACATGTTTAACCAATGTGAAATAAGTCCTGAAGAAACCTGCGTTATTTAACGATGTAAAGTGATGTACGGCATTTGGCATGCCTGCTTCCTAATTTAGATAGATTGAAGTAGAGTTGTGGCTGCCTAGTAGGAAAACGCTGCAGGTAAATAACAAACCAAAAAAAGCGATCGTTTTAGCATACCCATGGCCCACACTTGGTACCAAGGGGTCTGAAACAGATATTTTTTTCTATCGCACGTATGCCTGTATTATTTTAAGACTATTCAAATCAAGAATGTTTGTAATTCAGGCATTTACTTTTCACACTGGCAGTTATACTCATAAATCTCACATTGCCTTGCTGAGTTCAGTTCATTGACTCTGAACAACACTTGCATACCATAGAATCGTTTTTCGCAAAACATGCCGTATCTCTTTCAACAAAGTTGACAAGTAGCCGCAATTACCTAAAATATACATGTCAGATCTGGGGGGGGGGGAGACCCCGGATATTTTTTTCTACTTCTCTTTTAGTTTAGGCTTTGTGAACCATAACTGAAAGATATGTTTAAGGATAATTTGATTTTTTAACAAAAAAAAAAAAAAGTAAAAAGAAAAGAGGGAGTATAACCCGGCACTCACCCCGTCAAGGACTGGGAATCTGGAACTCTACTACTTGAGAAGCTGACTCCTTGCTGACCTAGAACAGTCTCGATGTAAAGGAGTACCCCTGCAACCAGGAGCCTCCCCAGTGGTCGCACCATGGCCCTGGCTATCCTTTTCCAATATTCAAATTATAGCAAACACTTTCCTAAATGATAGGGATTGCTAATCGTTAAAGTAGCTCCCAACTCCCTCTAGGCATGTATGATCCCAAGTCTCTCTTTTCAGACTTTTTCAAAGTTTTCTGCACTTGTGGGCTCTCTAACCTCTCTTCCGGAGCGTTCCTCCCTCAAATGCCCAACTGCTGCAACTGCCACCAATCACAGTGTAGTCGACTTTAAAATACCGACTTGTCAGTCAAACAGAAAACACGTGTCGGGAGTTCTCAGACGCAAACCGTTTCCGTTAACCTGAACTCCCGCAATGGCAACCCTTCTTTGATCCCAAAATGAGGGCCCCTGCTTTTATTGCACTTTCAAAAAGATTGATTAAATACCAACGAGGCCCCAGGAATTCGTTCGTGATTATGCTTTTGTAATTTTACTCTAAAGCCTCGCAACTTTGTGAGAGGAAGAAGGGGGATTCGTGTTTCACAGCTCATTTATATAACGTGTTCGTCATCATGCCCTGTTGGGACACAATGTGGATCAGTCATTTGAACAATTTTCTCAAACTTATTTAAAGACAATAATTGTCCAAGGTGTGATTCCTTACATCGTCAATGTATTCAATCGTTCGTCTGTAATGTGTAAATCCCACGCACGTGTATATCGTCTTCTTTTCTTTCTTTTTCATTTTATCAAGTTTATGAATTGAGTTAATTCAGCGTTTTGGGCGGATGAAAAAATAATCGAGCTAATGTACACTTACATGTGAATGGGAAATTGGATATAATCCAGTCGTTCTGGAATATGTGAACGAAAACGTGCTGTTTCAGAACCGTTTCGCAACCCCAGCATGACATGTCGCTATACCCGTTCAGCAAATCAACATCTTTACATTCTTCAAGCGTGCTAGGAATATTTTGTTGACAATCTCCCGCGTGGAATGACTGTGTTTGTGCTATTTTATTTATCCTTTTTATTATCTCTAATCGCATTCCCATTTAAACTAAATACTAAACACCGAACATAAACCATATTTACAGCAGAAAACATTTTACTATTGACAATGATGGTTAGAAAATCGATTTTGATGTCATAGGAATTAGAAAAACCCTAAATAAGTTTTTCGAATAGTCAATGGTCGGCCTGGGAATGGTTATCACTGATATTGGTGCTACTTTATATTATGCCGTCAAACGTATTGCAGCATATTCAAAGTAAAAATTTTTGTGTATTGCCATTTAGTAAACCAAGGAAGGAATACCCACCTACGCTTAACTTACAGCATAGATTGCATTACAAGACCTGCATATTTGTGTCGTTGCTTGGCTAAAAGACAGTTATTCGTGTTATTCATAAAGTCAAAATTGCATATATGTAGCAAACATAGATATGTAAATGCATTAATATACTTTATCTATCAGTGTATAGACAAAGGTGACATGGCCATGGCTTTCGATGTGGAGTTAAAAAGAACTGATTTGCTGGAAAGACAGGGCGGAGGAGGAGCAAAATTTATGTCGCATTTTTGCCCTTACATTTAAGACGGGGGCACACCACTGGTATAGTGCTTTGTTTAAACTATAATGTGGCCCCAATACGGGCAACCTCACAGTTAATAATGACTTTGTTAAACTCAATCAATTCCAATTAATGTGTTTCGGAACAGGAAACAATCCGGTCTTACTAGTACTTCATTTTTTACGCTTATCGGTTTGTTATAGACAATTAATATCAGAACGTTTAAAATCTGTACAATCGATTGTTGATTACATTTTACTTAACTCAATTACATTATTTACCTACTTGATCCTACAATATCAAAACCTTAAGCGCAAAAAGTTTGGTGTTATTAATGATATACATATATATTACGTAATGTATGTATATAATGCCTGTGCTATATAGGTACATCTGGGCTCTGTTTTGGGTTTGCATGAATAGGAGGAATACCCCATTACAAAATAGCTGGTTGATTTCTGTATAAATGTAAGTTGAGGCCTCATTTGATACTATTCAAACATATCATATTCATTACACAATTAACTTGTTTGTGGGCAGGTGCACCCGTAGAACGTGAACAGTATAGATTACAGGTTTTAAGTTTATGTTGTATATGTCATAATACCTAAGCATTTTATATGAAACTGGAGGGACCTCGATGACAGTCCTGAGAAACAGAGTTATCTTTGCATAAGTTCCTTTTACATTTTACTTATTGACTTCACACGAATATTGACTCCAGTGAACATGCCATAAGGTTTCAGCTCTTTGCTCGCCTTTGCTCTCTCTCTCTCTCTCTTTCTCTTTTGTTGAAATGTCTGCGCAATTAATGTCTAAATGCAAGAAACCATTTAAAATATGTTGGACTAAAACCACTAAGTACATTTGGAAATACATTTCATCGCAGGACAGTTTGATATATTTCATCGCAGCGGAGGGTATACTAAAATCACATTAGAATAGTGGACTCGGGAGCACTGCACACATTTGTAAACCACAAAATAATTTGCTGAAGTCTCCAATTCCCATAGGATTAAATCAGATAATACTATTTTTATATTAAAAAATGGTGTATAAGGGGTAGCAAAATCTGGTTACTTCCGCAACACTTTGATGAAAAATTGACTTAGTACTGGATTGTAGGGAATAACCGACCAGAAAAATGGCAAGCGATAAACCAAAACCTCACTTAATAAATGACCGGATTATTTGCAGTGGTAGAGCCTATTATGCAAAGAAAAAAAAGAAACAATCTTTTTTTGGCGCGACTTCTACTTCAGACCCTCCAATTTAGACAAAGGCAACATTTATATATATATATATATATATATATATATATATATATATATATATATGCCCATATGCGCATGCAAAAAGACTGCTGTAACAGTTTGAGATTTGACATTCACTCGTTTTATGGAATCTCATTGGCATATCTAAAAAATTCTGAATACCGTGTCAGTTGATTTTTAAAGATATTCTCGTACATTGTTAAAAGGGGTAGGGGTTTATCTTTGGTGAGTATTTAATCAATATATTTCTAGATGCAGTACTTTTATTTTATCGTCATGACACGAATACTACACAGCTATCTCATTGTGACAGAGAAGAGCAGCAATTCAGTCTGATAACAAATAACACAATGCATCAACTTAAGACCCATGATTAGCGGCTTGGAGCGCATTTTCAGGTAGCACCTATCGCAGTGATATGCGCCTCCCATATTTTTCATACATTTTAATGTCTGTTTACCAGAAAAGTAAATTCATTACTTAGATATTTGTCCGGAAACCTAAAAAAAAATAAAAACTAGAAAAGCACTCAGAGAGCGCAGACCTCCGCCAAGGCAGGAAAGTCTCCATCCAATGCCGTTTCATCCCTAAATTTTCGATATTTTTGATTATTGATCATTGATTGATTATTGATCCGGATCACCACCAAAAACCTATCATCTGTTCCTTGGCCCACTTCTGACAGTTCCTGAAAATTTCATCCAAATCGGTCCATAACTTTTTGAGTTATGTTGATGACAGACAGACAGACAAACAAACAAACAGGCGTGAAAACCATAATCTCCTTGGCGGAGGTAATTAATATGCATGAATTCTTAGTTTATCCAATAAAAATACATTTGCACTTTTTCATATGATGAGAAAAGATACAAATCAAGATATACTATTATATCTTATTTAAGGCACATCGATTATAAATAAAAAGTTTGTGTTATAATAATTTCTTTTATTTCTGTCAGTCTGTGTCTTGGTTTGCGGGTAATTTGATGTCCCCTCCCCATTTTTTTTTTCGTCGCCGTAGTTTTCCGTTCGACAAGTGTACATCCACTTTGACCCACATGGGGCGAGTTTATTAAATTCGTTTGAAATATTAAAAAAAAGGCGTTTTATGTAGTTTGTAGATTCATTAAACAATCAAAGTGACAGCTGAGCATGACTTGGCCAGCATATGATGTTGTCACCAATCGTGTTTGCTAAGCTTCCGGAAACTTTCTTAAGCATGAGCCATCAAGACAACACCGACGCCGACCTACACGCTAGCTGGTTATTTTAAGTTTTGAATTTCCTTAACTTCACCATGGGTTGCAACAAGTTGTTCACGATATCGTATCTCAGATCAATGTTAGATAGCCACATTAACTGCCTTTCAAAAATCTTCAACTGGCTTGTGGAAACCTGTCAGGCAATGTGTCAAATACAATTATATACCATTCTAAGGCTGCAAAAGTATTTGAAAAGGAATAACAGAAGATAAAACCACAAATTTATTATGTGCAGATGAAGCTGATCACGAAAACACTCAATTTACAATCGAAAATTATAACAAAAAACTTATATTTATTTTTTGATAAGTGTGATGACCCATTTCCGCCTTGTAGTGACTTCAAGTGCAACTAAGAGCAACTGAGTTCAACCAAGTGCAAAATTATTATGTGCAGATGAAGCTGATCACGAAAACACTCAATTTACGATTGAAAATTATAAAAAAAACTTGAACTTATTTTTTGATTCATGGGATGACACAGTTTCCCGCCTTGTAGTGACTTCAAGTGCACTAAGAGCAACTGAGTTCAACTAAGTGTACTTAATTAGGATACTGCATTCTCACACTCATAATGCCACTATTTTTAATATCTATTGACAGTATATATTTCAGGTTTACCTTACTTCATCCATTTATCTGCCCGCCTGTCTGTGTTTTTATAATGGGCAGCACTTCATACAGTGTACATAGGCCCATATGTAACTGCAACACGTGGAGCAGTGATTAGTGCGAGTAGTCAGTGAGATGTGTTCATGTCACATGACACTCGGGTATATAGTTTAGATCCCGCCCTTACATTTTCAGTTTCAGCAACACGGGTCTCCGGGATCATATAGTTTTATGTTTTCATTTGTTTTCATAAGTTTTCATTAGTTTTCATTAGTTTTCATAAGTTTTCATCAGTTTTCATCAGTTTATTCAGCGAAATACAATCTATTCAAACCAAGAACGCTTTTTGAGTTTTTAACGGTACGGTCACGGCAACACTATACTTTTTAAAACACTGTGCAAGTGCCCATAATGTGCATTAGTTGAACTGACATTTTGTTAAGTATCACTTCAGTACCAGATTTGTAAGAATTAGGAAAAACACAGGGCTAATGGAGCATGATCCCCTTAGATTTTGCTTTCCTTGTTCAAACTGAGCAAGAAAGAATATCTGCGCATGTGCAG